ACTCGATATTAAAACCGGAGAGTTTTAACGTGGACAAAAATAATTATATATACGATAGATAATGCATATGTAGTTGATAAGAAAAACGCACACTACGAATATGGTAAAAAATATAACGCGGAAAATAAATATAATAATAATTATAACGTTTTTTTTGAAGAATTTAATTCGTTGATAAACGAAACGAAAGAAAAAGAAGAAGAAGACGAAATGAAAAATGAGTTGAAAGATCCAATTGTTATGTCCGCCATCAACGAATTATCTAAATATTACAACGTTAAAATTAATTTCTTTTCCGATTTATCGTTGAACGTCGGAAGAAATGTTAACGGAAAAATAACATTCAATGTTAATCCAGTTTCTGGAAAATCAAATAATCCAACATTAGCCAACAGATGATGATGATGGAGATGATGAAGATGATGGTGAAACTCATAGAACTGCTCGGACGAAAAAAGGACGTAAGTGAATAATTAATTTTAAAAAAATATTTAATATTAATATTAATAATAATAATAATAATTTATAATTTGTTTTTCTTTGTTTTTTAATAAATAGTCGGAAGAAAAGAAGGTAAAAAAGGTAGTGGAAATAAAAAAAGAAAACGTAGGAAAAATCAAAGGCAAGAAAAAAAAGGAAATTATAAACATTTGCTCATACCCATCGGTTTACAAATGGCACTTTTACCATTTTTTTTAAAAAGTTTATTTTTTCTCGCTATAAAATCACTAATTGCTGGAAAAGCTGCTCTCATATTAGTCGTTTATCATTTGTTAAAAAATGCAAAAACTGGTAATGAAAATGATAAAATAACCGTTTCTCATTATGGGTATAAAGAAGGTGAAGAATATGGCGCTTGGATAAATCGTAGAAATTATAATGTTGCTGAACAAAGCTCTACGTCGAAACCACCGGAAATACCATATAAAATACCACCGGAAATACATTATAAAAGACAGCGAATTAAAACTCAGGAGTATTTAATAACTTAAAAAAATTTATTATTATTTATT